TAACGGGGTGAGCAAGCGCATGCACTTTTCCTTTCACTCTCTTAAGCGACTCCAAAACTTTCTTACGCTCAAAACTAAAATCATGCTTGCACAGGCACTTCTTCTTCCTATTCTTGACTACGCTGATGTCTGTTTTCTGGATGCGACGGAAGAATTACTCAATAAGCTTGAGCGACTACAAAACCTAGCTATCAGATTTATTTTCGGTCTACGTAAGTTCGACCATGTATCAGAATTTCGTGCTCAGCTTAAGTGGCTTCCAATTCGTCTTCGTCGTGATGTGCACATCCTGTCCACTCTCTACAACATCCTTAACAATCCCGCCACTCCCGACTATCTCCGCTCCCGCTTCCATTTTATTCCTCCAGATCCCCGCCCTAGGCGCGCCTGCATCACTAAGGTGCTGGAGTGTCCTAGAGCGAACACCAAATTTTTCTTTAACTCTTTTTCTGTTAAAGCTGCACAGCTGTGGAATGATCTTCCTAAGACTATACAGGAAAGTCCCTCTATTTCTGTTTTCAAAAAGCGAGTAAAAGAGCACTTCATTTCTCAACAACTTTGATATATATTTATGTATGTTTATGTTTATTTAGGTATTTATTTATGTAGGTATATATATTTATTTATGTACGGTATATTGTATTTAGTTAGTTAATTGTTTTAGTTAGTTAATTTTTCATTTTCATTTTATATTGCCAATTTGCCCCAAAAGTGTAAACTCTCTCACAAGACATGGGTTGGCTGGAAGAGATCTCTTTTAAGAGATAAGCTCGCCCTTGCAACAAATTTTGTTAATTAAGTTTCTGTATATTTGATGCAATAAAGAGTATAATAATAAATTCGCCACTTAAGACACGATTTTATAGGCCAAAATTATCCTCTACCTGTCTCTCAAAACCCGTCTATTGTATGGATGCAACAACCAGCGGCGGAGCACCTTTGCGGCTATCAGGGACTCAAAATTGTTTTCATAGAATTGACAAAATTTTAGAGAATCATTACTGCAGCCAATGTTTTACACGATTTCAAACGCTAAATAACCTCCACCTGTCTCTCAAACGGCTCTTTTGTTCAGTAAACAATGCGGAGAGGCGGCTCCCATCGGCGGGATATCTTCGCTACTATCAGAGTCTCTTTATATGAAACTTGGTATTTGATATTGATAAAATAGTAAATCACAGTCACCATCACCACAGCGCAATTTGACGCTAAATTGAGAGCGGTGGATTTACCGGACCTGTCTCTCAAACCTCTCTTTTGTTCAGTAAATAATGCAGAGAGGCAGCTCCCGGCGCGGCGGGACATGTTCAGTTCACCACTATCGGAGGCTCTTTACTATAAATTAAACTTGGTATTTGATATTGATAAAATAGTATAAAGTCACCATCACCACAGCAGACACGAATTTAAAGCCAAATTGAGAGCGGTGAAGGTTCCACCTGTCTCTCAAACAGCTCTTTTGTTCAGTAAACAATGCGGAGAGGCGGGTCCCGGCGGCGGGACACGTTCGCGGCTATCGGCGGCTCTTCATCAATCGATCCTCTCCGCCGGACGACGATCCGAACTCCAAACCGACGACACTCTATACTCAACACCGATTTTTTAAAGTACCTACTTCGTTTGTTTTTCAATCAGGGGCCATATATTTGCTACTTTCCATAAAAGTAATTAGATGTGGAATCGATTACTTACCGGTAGCCTCCCTACGCGAGGTTACGCGTGGTAAAACTACATTGAAGATTTTTAATAAGTGCCGTTTACTGAGGTTTGGTACATAAATATACTCGGATAACACAATGTAAAAGTCAAGCAAAAGAACATAACATTTGGCGAAAATTTTTCATATATTTTCGGAAAAGTAGGTAGGTACCTTTCAGTACCTACGTCCTAATTTAGTTACGAGAGAGAAAATTATGTTCCGACGTCCTAGACGTCCTGCTACGACGTAGCAAAGAAGTATCACCGATCGTAACGGCGTAGCGTAGCGTAAGTCGCAAGAGAACCGTAGCAGCTCTCGTAACGCATTCTTTCGTTCGTAGTAAAAGTTAAGAAGAGCTTGGAGATTGTTAGTTATTTATAACCCCTGTATTGTCTTACAAAGACCAAACGATAAGATAATAAACAAAAAATGCGAGATACAGTATGTAAAAAAAAAAAACTGCAAATATTTTAAGAGGTAAACCTGTCCATGAAACTGAACAACTTTTCCTAAGAAACATAGGTCGAAATACGAAAAGAAATTTGGCCCTCCATACAACCGGCCAACACATTTTGTATGAGAGGTCCTAATTTTTTCTTCGTTTTTCGACCCATATTCCCCGGGGAAAGTTGTTCAGTTTCATGGGCTGGTTCACCTCTTAAAATATTTACAGTTAATTTTTTACAACTTATACAGGGTTATTTTTTAGTCAGTGCGTAAACTTTACAGGATGTTTCTACTCGTGATTCTGAACAACTTTTACTATGGGGCCACCTGCGAAATCTAAAAAAAATTTTTGGTTGTTCCATTCATTTTTGCCGAGTAGGTATAAGTTTTTCTATGGAACATCCAAATTTTTTTTTTTGCGACTTCGCAGGTTATTTATTTATGATGGGCTTACTCTTGACCCCAATCTTACCCTAGAGCAGAGATGGGATCTACGGTGGAGCGAGCTTGCCCAGAAGATGCCTATTCACTCTAGACTTAAAGAGATTCAGGTTATATGCACTCGGAAATACAGACGCAGGCAGGGAATTCCATTCTTTAGCCGTGCGCATAATGAAAGATGATTTGAAGCGCTTAGTGCGTAATGTGGGTATATCAACTAAGAACGGATGGTAGCCGGCCGTGCGTCTGGATGTCCGATAGAAGAAAGGAGACGGTGGTATGAGCTCATGCAGCTCACGCGCACACTCTCCGAAGTACAATCTGTAGAAGACCGATAGGCAAGCAACCTTGCGGCGGTGAGCCAGGCTGTGAAGCTTGGTCGCCACCAGTTTTTTATCGCCTATTAATCTCTTGGCTCTGCGTTCCACCGAATCCAGTGCAGGTGGTCCCATAATAAATGTTGTTCAGAATCACGAGTAGAAACACCCTGCAAAGTTTGCGCACTGACTAAAAAATAACCCAGTATACGGGGTGTTAGGGACGGTGTAACGAAAACTTTGCAGGCGTGCTCAGACCATTAAACTGAACAACTTTTACTATGGAGCCGATGGTGGGAAACGAAAAAAATTTTCTGAACTCCCATACAAAGTCTCCCATACAGACGAAGACGTGGATGGCAGGATAAAGAAAGCCAAAGGTGTGTTTGCCCAGTTAAAACCTGTTTGGAAATCCAACATTCTCACCCGGCGAATCAAAATCTCACTCTTCGACTCCCTCGTAAAGTCAGTGTTGTTGTACGGATGTGAGTCGTGGAAGGTAACGAAAAACTTGTCGAACAAAGTCCAAGTTTTCGTAAATAAATCGTTGCGTTCCATACTCGGCATCTACTGGCCGAACACCATTCGAAACGAGGAACTGTGGTCCATTATGTAAGCAGTCACCAGTCGCGGAGGAAATCGCTCACCGTAAATGGAGTTGGATTGGGCACACCCTACGACGAAGCGACGACAACCTGGCCAAGATTGCCTTCGAGTGGCAGCCAAGCGGGAAGCGTCGACGTGGCAGACCTGTCGAAACCTGGAGGCGTACCACACGAAGCGAGCTGAACGCAGTTGGAGCCTCCTGGGACCAAGCGAAAACCACGGCGCAGAACAGGGAGGAATGGAAGAAGCTCTCCAGGGCCCTTTGTACCAGCGGGGTACCATAGGACTTCAACACAACATACAAAGTCAGTCAGCTGATCGTGAATTTTGTATTAGAGGTCGGAAAATTTTTTTCGTTTCCCACCATTGGCTCCATAGTAAAAGTTGTTCAGTTTGATGGTCTGATCATGCCTGCAAAGTTTTCGGTACAGCGTCCCTAACACCCTGTATAGGGTGAAATTTTACAAGTGACCGATAGCGAAAACTCAAATCCGACTGGACTTCCTCAAGAAACTTGGACCTTCCATAGTAACTTAAATCAGCTGATCGGTGATTTTTTATGGGAAACTCATTTTTTTTTCATATTTCCACCTATGTTCCTGCAAGAAAGTTGTTCTTTATCATTACCCGTTTCTGAGTTTTTACTATCTCGGTCACTAGTAAAATTTCACCCAGTAGACCAGAGCGAGATGATGCGAGAATGCGCGAACCATTAGAATACAGGGTGTTAGGGACGGTGTACCGAAAACTTTGCAGGCATAATCAGACCATCAAACTGAACAACTTTTACTATGGAGCCTATGGTGGGAAACGAAAAAAATTTTCCGACCTCCCATACAAAATTCACGATCAGCTGACTGACTTTGTATGGGAGGTCGGAAAATTTTTTTCGTTTCCCACCATAGGCTCCATAGTAAAAGTTGTTCAGTTTCATGGTCTGAGCACGCCTGCAAAGTTTTCGTTACACCGTCCCTAACACCCCGTATACATGATTAATCTAATCATAATGCACGAATTGCACGATACAAACTAGTGAGAGGGCATAGCTAAGCACCCTGACCTTCGAGGACATCTGATAAGGGTTCAATGCCCCGGCACATGTTAGGTACGTACAAGTCAGGGGTCGCACGCTCCATGTTGCAATGTTGTTGATTCCTAGATAGCAGAGGTGCTGATGTCATGGATTTAATGTGCAACAGGTATAGCGAAATGCGGAAATAGGAAACTCTCACTCGCGAGTGGGACACCGAGTCGTCCAACGGCCCAATTAACACTAGTGTCAGTTTTGCAACCGCCTACTACAAGTAGCCGGCCTCTGACATGGTTGGGTCGCACCGCCGTCTAATTAGGTAATCATGGACAGCAACCGGGACCGACTGCTTAACGTGCCCTTTGAAGCCCGGAACCATTTTTGGTTCGGCCTGCTATATCCTAACCAGACTCGAAACAAAATCACCAAGTAGGTAGGTAATAAATATCAACTTTGTGAGTGAACCACCGAGAATCGAACCCGGAACCTTCTGCGTCGTAAGCAATCACACTATCCCTGCGCCACATCGGCTGTCTACCACAGTAAGGATGTTTTTTCTCCAGTGTTATGCGAGATGTGTCGTAAGAGATGGATAGTTATGCTGTGGAAATATGTGGAATCCACCAAACATGTGCGAGGAAATAGTGTCGTACGAGGATGGAGCTGTGAAGCCAAAATAAGTAGCTTACCAATATGTTTTGGTGGCATCGATAGAGAGAGACATTCGCTACGTGGTTCGGTTTTCAAGATCTAGCTGGAGCGTACCATAGAGAGAGAGAGAGAGAGGCTCTCTATAGCTTTCCATAATTCTCTTCGTTATATTACCTAAATCTTACTACTACTACTACAGCCACAACAGTCCACTGTTTGACATGAGCCTCCCACAATTCCAACTCGCCACGCTTGACAGTGCGCATTGCAAGATGTTGTGCTCGCATAAACTAATTTCGACTCTCGACAATTAATCCACAGTTACTCAAAATCATGGATTTATACATTAGGGCTTGCCATGGAGAAGCACACATGAAAATACTTACTATTAATGTCTGGAGCAAGGATGCGAAAATGCGCGAAAGTTTTTCTTTTTATTCATTTCACAAATGGCCCTCCTCATACTAAAGTTGAAAATGTTTATTCAACTTGGGATACAAAAAATATCACATATTGATAATCATTCATTACACAGATATGGATAAGTAAGTCATAGTAAAAAAGATAATTGAATGACAATTTTGCGGTCCTAGTAGACGCGGCTCGGGCAGTATATAAAAAATAAAAATAAAAGCACTGCCTAGGGGCTGGCCAGGCTAACCACACGGCACGACATGTTTATAAAGAAGCCTCGTAGAATTAGTTTGAATAAATGCCCCTATCCCTACTGTTATTGACAATAGGATTGATACGTATGATTAAAAAGAAACCAACATAAATACCGATAAAAGTTTATTATTTTCAATACAAATTTGGTATAAAATATAATTTTTGGCAAAATACACAATATAAAAAAATCTGGGTACTACCCAGGTACCTACATGTAAATGCAAATTTTTAATAGATAAAATATTATTATTTTAATCAATTCATAACAATTTTTTATTGCTTAAAACTTAGTGTCATGAATTTTAAACTTAAAAATAAACATGAGCAAAGTTTTAAAATATAAAATCAATATCAATAAATGTTATAGAAATTAATACATAGTTGGTATCTAGAAATTGTAATATTTAACAAGGGAGTTACTTTTTATGGGCCACATGAAAAGGCCTTTTGATTTTCTTATGGCAAGTATATCACATAGTTTCATAAGACGGTTTTGCAGTAAATTAGGCAGATTTTCCTATAAACCTGTATGCAGCACTTCAGTCTTATTTGTAGTACATTATTATTTCTGTAAAATATTGAAAGTGCACAATTGAATGCAAATAAAGAATAGTAAAAATATGATTCAACTCCTAAAATGCTATTGCAAAAGGCACCATGATTCAATTCTTACCTAAAATAATATTAAAAGACTTCTAAAAATACACCATAATCTATCTACCCTACGCCTGTACTGCATCCTACTAATATTATAAAGGCGGATGTTTGTGTGTGTGTTTGTTACGACATCACGCTAAAACGGCTGATTAGAATGACATGAAATTTTGCAAAAATATAGAAGAGTATCTAGAATAACACATAGGCTACTTTTTACCACGGGAAAATGTCTTATTCCTACGGGATCACGCATATTCCAATATTTTTGAAGTAGGTGGCGTGACTGAGCCGATTCACGTTAAGTGGGGAAGCACATCCGTTGATTCAACGGTCAATCTTGAAGTCACTGTGGCGTGGTCGTAGTGCGCTTGCCTTCCAAGCAGGCGCCTGGCGTTCGAATCCGAATCGGAAACTTCTACTTTATTGTTTTTATTTTTTCGAACTTTTATTTAATTTAAGTTTTGTTTTACGATATTGGCCAATGGTACACACTGGTCTTGCTATACTTCCTATTCCTACTTTTATTATAAAGGCGGATGTTAGTGTGTGTTTGTTACGACATCACACAAAAACGGCTGATTAGATTGACATGAAACTTTGCAGAAATATAAAAGGGCATCTGGAATAACATATAGATTTGATATAGGATACTTTTTACCATGGAAAAATGTCTCAATCCCACGGGATCACGCATTTTCCAATATTTATGAAAAAGGTGGCGCGACTGAGCCGATTCGCGTTTTAAAAACTAACAGCGACATCTTTTGGCGAGTAAGTAAGGCAAAATTAATATATATCCCACAACACATGCACGTACCAAAATTACAAGCCAATAAAAATGTTTTAACAAGATGTTGGATTGGATCCCACAAATACATACATCCGACGTTCAAAAATGACAGTGCTGTGAAAATGTTTTAACAATGTATTGGACTAAGAAATTGGAAAACAGCGACATCCCCCATCCCCATCTGTACCGCCATGATTTTGGATGACATCGACATTTTCTATCGTGTAGATGAACCAAGATAGTCGTATCAGTGGGATACTACATTCTGTTCACAAAATGAAATGCAAGATTGTCGTACAAATGGGATAATACATCGTACGGCTTACAGAAAATACATATAAGCTAAAGATGATCGTTCGACCAAAATCCTACTAATATTATAAAGGCGGATGTTTGTGTGTGTGTTTGTTACGACATCACGCTAAAACGGCTGATTAGATTGACATGAAATTTTGCACAAATATAGAAGAGTATCTAGAATAACACATAGGCTACTTTTTACCACGGGAAAATGTCTTATTCCTACGGGATCACGCATATTCCAATATTTTTGCAACGGTGGCGTGACTGAGCCGATTCGCGTTTTAAACGTTTTCGCCAAAAACTAACAGCGACATCTCTTGGCGAGTAATGCTTTTTTCCCGCGGAATAATACGTTGCAGCGGGTGAAACCGCTGACGGGCAGCTAGTAAATAATAAATTAACAATAAAATACAACAAATGACTAAATCTACTTAAGACCAGCAAAAGTTACCGTTGTAGTAAGACCCAATCCCATTAAATATACATTACCAATAGCAAATATAGGTATGCCTTGGTTGTGGAAAAAATATATGTAAGCCTTGGTTCTTATTTCAGTAAGATCCAATTCCCACATAACAATATCAACACAAATTAAGGAGACATAGCGCGGAAGGTAATTTTTTGATGGTCTTACAGCTATCTAAAGTATTCATATAAAACACATCAGAATACTTATCTTAAATTCATATTATGAAAACTAGAACTTGTATAAACAAATCAAATATACATAATTATTATAATTATCTACGGGACTATCATACATAACCCATAAATTAGGTAGTAAATAGCAGGCACTTTGGTTAATAAACATTATACAATAACAAAATTCTATAAAAAGTATTAAATAACGAACTATACTGATTTATTGACTCCAATTTATAATGGATTATGATTTGAATAATAAGTGACGCCTATACTTAATTAAAATTTCTGATATAAATATGCAAATCTAATTATCTATTTGATCGCATTGCACTTGACTACCAATTCAACAAATGTTTAGTTCAGTTTCTATTCATAACACACACTTACCCCCGGCTACCCGAGCCAATTCAACAGGCACGAATTAACAGATTTTTCTTCACATCATAATAATGCTTTATTCTTTGACTGATCTGTTATATAGTTTAGTTGGCAAAATTCTACACTTTATGGATAGATTTATTGGTTATTTAAGAAGGAACTGTCCGGGGCCACGTTATTGAAAAGAAAACAAAGATGGCGCCCTAAATCATCTTGTAGATATACAGACTTCTATATTTCTTTTTCTTTGACGTGGGCAAAGACATGGAGAGCCGACCCTAGATGATAGAATAAGGATAACTTGAAGAAGATAACGTGGCCCTGGACAAATACTCACTGTAAAGTTTTTCCTTACGCGACGAGGCTCTGTGCGCTGGGTGTGAAGTGCGTGAGCGCGTAGTCGTGGTAGTACATCATGATGGCGAGCGGCTGGCCGAGGATGAGCGAGCTCCACACGATGAGGTTGCCCCAGCGCGCGCCCAGCCTGACTTCCACCACGCGCGAGATGTAGGAGAGCGGCGGCTGCGCCATCATGCCCAGGAACGCCCAGATGCGGAACATCTGGAGCGGCACGCTCACCTGCAAAACGAAAGAAAGTGACAATCGATGTGCTTATTTCTTTGGGCTACTTGGTAACTTTAAACCGGCGGATAACTAGCGCTACAGTAGTACTACCTAGTTCAATAACGAATGGAACTATAGGTGAAATAAAGACCGAGAGCGACGTCGTAGTGCGCCGTCAACGTGACAGCGTCGTCCATAGTATGACTGGTTTGTATAGGGATGCCAGAAAGACCGGGCGGCACGCCGTGGCACTCCCTCCATACTAAGAACGACGACGCCGTCAGCCTCGGTCTTTATTTTAAACTTATAAATGGCGGCGGCTCCGTAAGTGGGAGAGGGAAAGCATCAACGCCTGGTAGTGCAAGTGAGAAAGCATGCCCTTCGGCCGCCATTTATAACTCCATTCAGTAACGTCTTTTGAAACTAAGTGAAATAAAGCTGTTATTGGTCTCTCGCTAAAAGAATTGTCCGATCGCTACATCATTTGCCAACCAATATCAACTTTACTTCAACTACGATACATTTCATACTCAATTTACTACTGCAAAAGGAGTTGTGCCAAATTTTTCCTGTACTAAACCTGTCATACAGGGTGTCCGGTGGATTGATGTAAGCATTTTAGGGGATGATTGATTGAGTCATTCTGAATCATTTAAGCTAAATTTATAATAGTACCAAGTCGTCTAGTTCTTTAGATATGGCCAATAGTACTTCTACTTTACTAAGTTTAAATGATCCAGAATAACGCAACCAATCATTCCTTAAAATACCTACATCGATTCCCCGGACACCCTGTATATCACTTTATTCTAACTATTTCAAATTATTAAAGAACTACCTACCAACTTTCTATTTGACAAAGCGTCTGAAG